AATATTTATTTATATTTACTAATATATACATGAAAAACTACTGGAAGGTATTCAAGAAACTAATGGCAGTAGCTAACTGTCAGTAGAGATGTGGAAGGGCTGTGGGAAACTGAGAAGATCAGACATAACAGCAAGGTTTTTCACAAGTAATGTTTATATATGTGTATTTATTTTTGAATCATGAATATATTAACTAGTCAAGAATTAAATTAATAAATAGGGAAAAAGAATTATGCTAATGCTATCTGTAAGTTCAGTAATCATCAGAGTGTAGCTGAAACCATTTTTAGATCTATTTGTCAGCTTGGAGTCTGAGATGGTTTCTGTAGTATACTTCCATAAGAGAATGCAGCTGTGTGGTACAGATGGTTGCCCTCCAGGTTTATTCACTAACTAGAGCAAACATCTTAACTTCTCTGGCTATCCATTTCTCCATATGTATAATAGTAGCATGTTGCAATGATTAATAAAATAATCCAGGGTGGGGAGGTGGGGATGAGAAGCTGCTAGATAAAGAGAAAGTTCTGTAATAAAGGGAACTCAAACTTCAGTGTCAAACCTCATTTGGTTACAGATGCAATGACAACGGGAAGCAGCACTGGCCAGAAGCCAGTCCCAGGGGAATACAGGGGCGGCCGCATATAGCATTTCCCCCAGAGGCAGAGAATTTGAGGAAGGCCAAGTTTGTCAAGGGAATCTGGTAAACTAGATGACAAAAATGGGAGCAACTGTGGGCTGGAATGTAGCAATATTAGGCAGATTTATAACCAGGTAAACAACCCTGGTCACAAGGTTGCTTTTGAATAGACTGATGTTAATCATAAGGAAGTGTCCTGTACTATTCCACAATTTTAATCAATGATTCAGATCAAAACACAGAAGGCTGGCTTGTGAATTTTGAAGTACCCAAAGCTGGAGGAAGAGCTACTGGATGATAGAATCAACATTGAAAAATTATCTCAACAGGCTGATGAGTCAAAGTCAACAGATGAAATGTAAAGGGAATAAATGTGAACTTGGCCTTTAGGCTCAAGGACATAAATTGCACCAGAACAGGACAATAGGGACTTGGCTTAGCAGCATCAAGTGTAAAACGGGCTTAGGGGATTTAGTTGACTTTAAGCTCTAGATGAATCAACAGCCTCAAAGAACCTTTCACAAAAAGCTCATGCTTCTTTGAGCTGCATTAATACAACTGCAGTGACCCAAACCAGGGAGCCAACAGTCTCACTCAAATTTGTTCTGTTCATTCCCCAGAGGGATGCTCAATTGGTATAAATAAGGTTGGCTTACTGTTTGTTCCTCTCCCTATACTTTTAAAATCATCTTTTACAAATGTCAATTCATTTTAACCTTCATAACACACTTGAGTACAACTATCATTCCCTATTGGCAGAAAACAAATGACAAATGAAGCACAGAGAGGTTAAGTAACTTGTCCAGGGTTACACAGTTAGTAAATGATGGAGTGTGCTCCTAGGACTAATAGCATCAGCAGCATCTGGGGACTTGTTAGAAATGCAAATTCTTGGGCCCCCCCAGATTTACTGAATGAAAGGCTCTGAGGGGAGGGCACTGAAATCTGTGTTTTAACAAGCCTTCCAGATGATTCTGATGCCTGCTCATGTTTGACAACCACCGCACTACACTATTTTGCCTTCATATAAATAAGTGATGCTGTCTTAGTCATCTCTTATTCTCTAGATTGCTCAGCACTGAGCCTTACATACAGGTAGTATTCAGTAAATGTATTAATGAATTCATGTAAAAAATCTTGACTGCATATACCATATACCCAGGTCTGAGTTAAGTGCTAGGGATACAGAGAGTTTACTGTCTGGGGTGGGAGCCAGACATGTGTTATGTGTTAGGTGCTCTGAGATATGTGTTCTTGGTTTACAGTAAAGGAAGTAATTATTTTTTTTCTGGTGAAGTGGGAAGAGGCCATTACAGAAGCCATCAGAGAAGATAACGCTTGATTTGAGCTGGACCATTAAGGATGAGAGAAGGAATTTACCAAGCAGACTGGGTAGGGAAAAGGGGTAACTGGAAGGCATTCTCAAAAATTGAAGTCTGATTACAGAATAAATGGATGTGTGAATGGATAAATGTTACTCAACACTGGCAAGGGCTTCCTCAGAATGTCGTTGGCTGGATGCCCTCACCCTGGACACTGGAGAAGGGATTCCCTAGCTTGGCTGGAGGTTTGGGTCAGATCATTTTTAAGGACTTTACCACCTCTTAGTTTCTATGACTGGAAAATTCAAAAAAAGATTCCTCTGGAGTGGGACTTCCCAACAGGGAACCTACCCATTAAAGTGCATATTTGCCGAGGCCAAGAAGCCAGGAAGAGTCAAGAAGATAGGGAGGCCTTAGAAGACTTTCCTAAGAAGTTCCAGGCCAAGTAATGCATTATAGAAAGAAGGGCTCTCAGAGAGTGAAATTCATTTGCATCAAGATTGCATATGCCTAGGAGGAAAGGCTAAAAGCTGACTAATGGGTATAAATGAGACAATTCACAAAAGAATACTTAAGCTAAGGTGCTTCTAAGTGATAATATTATATCATTGGTGGAAAGCAAAAGAAAACAGAATGCCATTAGTTGACCAACTATAAAAAGAATAAGAAGTGATATAGGATAGGAAAAAAAATGAAAAAAAAAAAAAAACACCTCAAGTTCCACGAGGACGGTAAACACAGAACGTATGTGGCCCGGTTACAAAGGAGAGGTAGCATCCTCCTTACCACCTATTTGGGGTGATTTGTGGGATGCTGAAGTGGGCCCTCTGCTCAAAGACATTTTCCCTAGGTCCCTGTGGGGGTGAGTAAAAAGTCTCAGATTCAAAATTAGGTTAACTTCATTAGCAGCCTGAGAAATCAGCTGACTAGTTTGCTACTTTTCCTCTTTTATCAACCCCTTCTTTCCCTAGTTACTTCATTCTCCTATCCAGTCAAGCATCTCTTATTTACCAAGTCATCAATCTCACCACTATTTGGTGAATGACTCCATGTGGATAAATACTTGAGTAGATCTGGGAATAATATATGCATGTATCCCTAAGTTCTGCTTTGTGTCTGTACATGTCATTATGGGGACATATGAGTACACTTGCCTGCAGAAATCTGTGAACGGCTCATTCCATGTACTAAGGTCTATCCGTCACTGTGTTAGGGTTGGAAAAAGAACTGAAAGAGACTAGCATGGCTGAGTTTTACATGTGTGTGTGTATGTGTATGCACATATATGAGCACACGTGTACACATGTGCTTTGTCTAGTTCTAAGACTGCTGTAATGGCCACAGGAATTCTTGCCCCCTTCTGTTCTCCAAGGAAAACATATACTTTATTTTCTTTTCCTTTCTTTGCTTCCAGCTAATGCTGGCTCTTCCCTAGCAATGAAGTGAGTAGCAAGCCTCAATATGTGAATACTTTTTAAGCCAATGACATGTTGGTTCATTAATCACTCCTGGACCAGTGGACATCCCATGTGTTAGAGATGGATAGATTAGCATATTAGAGAAATATAGATTAAAACATTCCAGGAAGGATTTAAACTTTCCTCCAGTAAGTGAAATTGACCATATATAGAGTGAAACTAACCAAACACAAACTGAAATTAATGAGCAGTGTATCTCTTCCCTAGCTTACTGAAATAGTAACATGTCAGTAGTAAATATATTAGATTTCTAAATTTCTTAGTATTAGTAAACTAGGTCAGGTCGTTTTAGTTGTGATACGTTGTTTTGATCTTGACAGCTCCAACTCTTTAATAATGTGTAATGGGAAAAGCAAATGAATAACTTGAAGGCAGGAAGGAGAGTCTCTCAGAAGCAAATAAATAGTAAGGGGGGAGAGGTGGACTAAAAAAGGCATCCTTAACAAATGCCAAAGAGTGAATCATCCCTGTGGGATTTACAGTTTCCATTAGCCTGGAAGACAAGATATTTAGTTGTCCAAGACTAGGGATTTAATTTTGTGGTCCTTTGGGGCTATGTTTATAGATACTTAGGGCCTTTCCATATTATAATTTATCCTTACAGTAGACAGTTTCATTACCATTTACAGATGGGGTAAGCACTCAGAGAATGTAAGTGACTTACTCAAGGTCACCTGGCTAGTAAGTGACTAAAAATCATGGTTTCCTGGCCCTTTGTTTTGTTTCATTTTGTTTTTCCTTACACCATGCTGCCTCCATATCTCATCTATTCTTAAAAAATCAACATGAAAACTAAACAAAACACCCCCTCCTTTGCCCCTGCTTTCTCTATTGTAACATTACTAGACCGTTTGATAGAATACTCTACACAAAGTTTACTCTTGCTGCATTCATTTCATTACTACCTCCTTTCTGCTCAACCTCCCACACTGGTTAACACTCCTAACATTTTCTGACCTCTATGTGTCTCTACCATTGCTTCAGTAATTGTTATATTATATCCATATCCTGGATCCATAATAATCATTAGCTCTGACAATGTCCATGTCTTAGATCTCTCTGTTGCCTTCAAGCACCTTATAAATAGTTCTCAACAAATCACTAGTGTCCAAGATTTGACAAAACATCAATGAAGAGTTTAGGGCAATGATCACATTAGTATCAGATTTGAGAACAACATTGGTGTTAGTTTCCATTTTAAGATAACATAACTTGGTCCTTCATGTAGTTCTTCCTTGATTACCTGGACACAAACAAACTTACTTTATGGATTACTTAGTGTTTGGAAATATTAAAAAGCTTAAATCAATTCTGATCAGTCAGAAACAATTTGACAGCGGCTACAGAGAACACGCTCACATACATATACACCCGAAAGATCAACATTTGCCATCCTAAAGGTCTAAAGAGAACCACGAGCAGTCTATACACACATGCACGTTCCTACTCCCCCAAAGTGTTTGAGTGGTTGAGAATAATAATTTAATTGCAGTCCTTCTTCCCAGATTTTGCACCCTCCTTCCCCCCACAATGTGTTTCTGAGGTTAGGGTTTAGCTACTCACCATTGCCTTTGGGGTCGCTGAGAGCGGTGGGAGGGACGACTAATGAGCGATGACTTCCAAAGCAACATTCCTTGGAAAACCGTCTCCTGCAGTCATCATGTACCTGAAACGACAAGAGAAGAGCAGAGAAAAAGGAGGGAGGGAGAGAAAAGGATAACACTGATCAGTCTTCAGTTCCAGTCCCCAAATGTAGATCCTTAGTATTCAAATCTCGCTTTCTGAGATGTGGTGTCATACGTGTATCCCTAACTCACCTGGACACCTCCATTCCACCCCAAGCCTGCACTGTTGCTGACTGAGGCCTCAGAACTCTGGTCCCTTCAAAGGTGGCTTTCAGAAGATACCCATCTACAGGTACTGAAAAGTCACCAGTTCTATGGCACAATCTTAGTGGCATACAGAATCTGGAGCTTACTTGCAGTATGAGTGCTAATTCTGATATTCTGATTTTACCATTCAACCCTTACAATAACTGTGTGTGGCAGAGAGAAGACCTTATTAGGTTCATTTTAGAATTTAGGTTCATTTAGTATGAGGATATCAAAGCTCAGAGAGATAAAGGGTCTTACCCAAGGTCAAATAGATAGGAAGTGACAGAGCTGAGACTGATTTTCCCCAGATTCCTGAGATCTTCAAGTACAACTTCCTAGACAATTACACAGTTTCTAGGGGATATGAACCTGGCCTGGTTAATTCAAAAGCAATTAAAAGACATTGCCAAATTTCTCCTGAGGGATAAAATTGCCCCTAGTTGAGGATCACTTCTTTAGTAGTGTTGTAGTTAAGAACATTGTCTTTGCAGAATTATGTGTGATTTAAGATTCTTTTGCTTACTGGCTGCATGACCTTGTGCAAATCACTTTACTTTTCTGAATCTCACTTTCCTCATCTGTAAAATGGAGACAATGAGGCCTGGTTTAGGGTTGTTGTAACGATTAAATGAAATCATGTATATAAAACACTCAATACATAGTGGCATTTTTAATAGTGTTTTATAACCATTATTAATTAACAAAGATTACAGGTTCCTAGGAAATAGTAAATGAGGAAAGGAGAAGGTTTCTTAGGGGAAGACTCAGAACTTATTTTTTAATTGCCTATAGTGCCATTAGAGAGTTCAGCTTTCCAATTTGCTAGTAGGCCTTACCAATTTAAAACCATCAAATATAAGAGTCTTAACTCTTTCTCCCAAAGACTCTATAGCCAGTTCTGGAAAGGCAGGATATGGAGCTCTATACTATGGAACCTATATAATCTATTTTGGATAAGGGTAACTGAGATTTCTATCTATGTGTATGCACTCAAGCTTCAGTTCATTTCTTCTCCAGAAGTCAAGTTCTCTAAGTATCAAGAAGATGAGAAGAGTCTTACCGTAGAATTACACCAAAGACAGCGGAAATCTTGAAGTCTTTCATAACTGCCACATCTCTCATGACATACTGCACACTGAGAGCCGGCAGGCATGTTTCCTTCTACCCATTGATGGGGCATGGTCTGCTGCAGGGTAAAAAGAGACAACAAGAAGTTAGAAATACAAGGAAAGGAAGGTCCAACTGGAATAATTGTACTACCCCATGGACGACATTAGGTAAAGGCCCCAAGTTCCTCACGGTCCTGTCCTCCCTGCTGCAATACTAGTGACCAATGAGAGGTGGGAGTGAGGGGTTTTCATTCTTCCACATTGATTGGATTGTGAGTCTGGGGAAGAGACATACTTTGCTTGACTAGAGACAGAAAGAAGTCATCCTTTCTCTTCAAGTCCTGGTTGAAGAGGAGATGGGAGAAGGCGACTGTGGGAGGGCATAACAGGTACTTACTACTTCATCTGCAGGAAGGAGGAGGTCATCAGTGATGGACAAGGTATTCCACTTGCAGTCTTTGCTTGCTCTCAAAGCACATAATCTGTGAGATTTCACTTTGCATACTGTGAGAAGAGGGAGAAAAATGATGGTGTGAATCTGGTGTCAATGAAGATTCTAATTCCCTTCCCTAAATTGCTCTTAAAGTTAAAATCCAGATGCATTCTAAGTAGTTCTGATCCACCTCCAAAGGCCTATTTCCAATATGATCCTGTTTTTTTAATTCTTACTGGCTAAACTTTCTACTATCTAACTTGAATGGAAATTGATATAAGAATGAGGTGATTTCTGTCTTTTCAACCCTTGTGACCATATAATCCCATCTCCAACACCCATATACCCAACCCTCCATTTCTATTCATGAGAATTACCCCTCATTCTAGTATCCTTCCTGCCCCTTTCCTCAGTCAGGGTCAACCTCACACCAGAGTCAGTGACCTAGTGTGAGTCAATGATACTAAAATCACATGAGCTCCCTTACTGCATCTTTACCTACTGAGCTCAACTTCTTAAAGGAAACAGAAAGGTACCTTCACAGATGATAGCATCTCTAGATAAAGCAGGAATGCTCTCTCGACAAACATTGCAGTGCTGGGTTCGAGGGCTGTACTTGGAGTACCAATAGTGCATTCCAACAAGGAAAGGGTTGTTTTCTGCTGCAGGTATCTAAAATAAATCAGAGATGAGAGAATGGAAGGTTAATCACAGAGATGGATTAGGGAAGGCCAGAAAATCTGCTGCTAAGGCTAAAATGGTCTACTATATAGGTGTCAGAGTGTGTAGAGGGGAAGACTGAATGTTGGAGTCAATACCTGTTTTATGTTTTTGGTTTTCTTTTGTTTTGCCAGTCATTTTAGGAAGTGAAAAGAATAGAGGGGCAGATCCTGGACTAGGAGCTGAAGGCAGGAGCCATGACCTTTATACTGCTTGACCAACCACTGTACTGGTTTAGTCCAACCAAAATTTGTTCTGTTAGTCTTGGCCTTGGTTCTCTTTAAATAGTAAGCAAAATGAGATGGTGAGTTAGAAATTCAGTGATATCCAAATGCTCTGGCCAGGGAGAAAAGGGAAGAGGAACGGCTCTGACTCTGGGCTAAGGAATACTTATCAGACTTTCACTACCTCCTGGAGACATATACTCCCCCTTGTGGCCCTTCTGTGACCAGGCAAGCAGAGCATTGCTTTTCCTGGACAAGTTCATCTCAGGGGCCTCTTGCTCAAATATTCTTTTCTGAATACCATGCTCTGACTGTCTACAGAAGTTTCCTATTAATCAACTTCATTCATTCAACAATTAATTAAACAAATATTTACTGAGTAACTACTATGTGCTTGACACTTTAAAGCACTTGGGATATAGTGATGAACAAGACAGAGTCCCTGCCCTCATGGAGTGACATTCTGTTTGATGTTCTATTTTGTGGTATTGAATTTGATATTTATTGTTCATCTGCCTGTGAATGCTGCATTTGTAAATCACAGTCTAACTCTCATGATTGTGGGGAAAGCACAGGGTATATCAGCAACTAGTTTTGGGTTGAAAGCAGAAGGGAGGAGTGGGCACTGAAACCCCACAAATTTGTTCTGGATGTGCCTTCCACAGGACTCTTCCAACTTTTCTCTGATTCTGTGAATGTCAGAATTTCTCCTTCTCTCTCTCCTCTGGAATTTAGACATAAGCATACAAACAGCTTTTTATTCTTGGCATTATAATGGGCTGGGTGTATAAAGACATGCGAAAGCTTTAAAAAGAACTATATATTCTCCCTGACCGTCAGCTGATATTGAAAGAGAGCTGTTGAGGGCTCTGGCGTATTATGTGTTCAACCTTGATCAATTTACAGGAATTAGCCATCCAAGACATAGCCTGCACATAGCACTCTCTCATCCCTCCTTCCCCCTTCTGGCATGCTGGCTATGTGTTAAGCCACTGCTGGAATGACCTGGAAGCTTCTGGGAGAAAAAGCTACTTTGATGAGCTAAAGGTTTGTATGGCCTGGGATTGCTTTGTGATTGCAATGTTTATTGTACACTGAGACCCTGGAAAGCTCTAGGAAAATCAGAGTAGAAGGTGGAGAGTCCTGAGGAAGTGACACAGTCTGAATTTTCAGCACTTTTCTATCCCCCAAGCCACTAGATTGTAACTCTACAAAAGCATTTTCCTTCCTTCCTCCAATCTCCTTCCCTCTTCCAATAATTACTAAGAGCCTACTGTGTGCCATATACTGTGCTAGGCATGGGACCTGCAGAGATGAATAAGCCACAGTTGTTTTCCTCAAGGAGCTCATAGTGTACTTGAGGAAACAAATTATGAAACAGATCATTCCAGTACAGAGTAACAAGTGAGCTCTTCTAAAATGTGAAGGGTTCTGGTCTAGCCCCATGGCTCACTCGGGAGAGTGCGGCGCTGGTAGTGCCGAGGCCACGGGTTCGGATCCTATATAGGAATGGCTGGTGCGCTCACTGGCTGAGCGTGGTATGGACTGCACCGTGCCGAGGGTTACGATCCCCTTACCGGTCCAAAAAAAAAAAAAATGTGAAGAGTTCTACAGGACCAAGTGGAAGAAATGCAGAGCTCTGTTGGGGTAAAATTGAATTTCATGGCTTGATTGGCTACAGAATATAAAGGAATATATAAAATGTTGAGGAGATGGAATTTATATTCCTTGTGTACATCCTATTCTATAAGGAAACTTTGATGCATCCAACCCTGGATGAGTTTGTGTACTGGGTTGAATTGTGTTCCCTTCCCCACAAAATATGTTAAAATCCTAACCCCTGGTACCTGTAAATGTGACATTGTTTGGAAATAGGGTCTTTACAGATGTAACCAAGTTAAGATGAGGTCATACTGGATTAGAGTGGGATACAGAGACACACACAGAAGAACACCTTGTAAAGATACAGAGCACACAGACGCAGGGGAGAGCATCATATGATAATGGAGGCACAGATTGAGGTAATGCATCTGCCAGCCAAGGAATGCCAAGGTTTGTCTGCAATCATCAGAATCTGGGAAGAGGCAAAGAAGAATCTTCCCCCAGTGCCTTCAGAGAGAGCAAGGCCTTGCTGACAGCTTGATTTTGGACTTTTAGCCTCCAGAACTGTGAGAGAGTATGTTGCTGTTTTAGTTAACCCTGTTTGTGGTTATTTTTTACTGCAGTCCTAGAAAACTAATACAGGTTTTGGTACTGGGAAGTGGGGTACTTCTGGAACAGATACTTAAAAATATGGAAATTACTTTGGAACTGTGTAATGGATAAAGGCATGAAGAATTTTGAGGCACATTATAGAAAAAGCCCAGATTTTTTGAACAGAATGTTGCTATAAGTATGACCTTTAAAGGTATTTCTTGTGAGGCCTCAGATAAAAATTAGGAGCATATTATTGAAAACTGGAAGAAAGGTGGTCTTTTTTGTAAGCCGGCAGATAACTTGGTTGAATTTTGTTCTACTATTGGGTGGAAAACAGAATGTGTAAGCAATAAACCTGAATATTTAGCTGTGGGTATTTCCAAGCAAAGTATGGAAAATGCAGTTTGGTTTCTCTTTGCTATTTATAGGGAAATGCGAGAGGAAAGAAATACACTGAGGAAGAAAGTTTTATTAGTCTGCTCAGGCTGCTATAACAAAATACCATACTTGTAGGCTGGGTGGTTTAAACAACAAAAACCTATTTTCTCACAGTTTACAGCTGGAAAATCTAAGATCAAGCTGTCAGCCAATTTGGTTCCTGGTGAGGGCTCTCTTCCTGGCTTGTAGATGGCCACCTTCTTGCTGTATGTTCTTATGGCCTGTAGTGGATTGAATTATGTCCCCCCAAAACTCATTGAAGCTTGAATTGTGTCCCCCAAGTTTTATGTATTAGAAACTTAGCCCTCACTGTGACTGTTAAGAGGGTAGGAAATCCTGTTATGGTAATTGAAAGGTGGAGCCTGGTGATTAGATTGTAGGACTGTGCAGTGAAGAGATGAAAAATGGTGGTCAGGAGCATGGTTCTGAGGGCTTTAAAAGGAGAGAAGAGTCTGTCTTTCTCTCTCTCTGATCTCTCTGCTTCCACCATTTTGCAATGTAAGACCACTGGGTCACTATCACCACCACCAGATGGACTTTGGAATTTCCAGCATCAGAAACTGTAAGCAATAAATTTTGTTTTCTTCATAAATCACCCAGTTCCATGTATTTTGTTATAAGCAACAGAAATGGACTAATACATGGCCTTTCCTCAATGTTTACATATGGAGAAAGAGAGAGCAATTTGTCTCTCTTTTCCTCTTCTTATAAGGCCACCAATCTTATTGGATTAGCTCCCCACCCTTATGACCTCATTTAACCATAATTACTTACTAAAAGTCCTATTTCCAAATACAGTCACATTGAGGGTTAGGGCTTCAACATATTAATTTGAGTGGGTGGGCAACACAATTCAGTTTATAGCAGAACTATTAAGTGAAAAGTCACCAGAACTTGAAGATTTGGAAAATGTTTAGCCTATACATATTGCAAAACACAAGAAAGTGTGCTCTGGAAAGAACACCAAGGGTATGGCTGGACAAACTTTTGCTGGAGAGATTTGGTATGGATCCAATTAACTATTTCAGCTTGGACTGAAAGGGACAGACATGGAACAAAATGAAGGAAGATTATCAGATTTCTGAGATTCTATAGGCGTGAGACAGACTGATAATGTTACCCAGCTGTGAATATATGTTATCCTTCGAGAAAATGGAAGAATGACTTCCAAGTGTGGCTCAGAGGCCAGGAAGGCTGCTGAGAGAGGCTCAGGGGCTAAAGGTGCTGCTGTTGTCACCACAGGCCTAAACAGTGCAAGCCCAAGGGGCGGGGGCATTACATCCTTAGTTCCAGAGAATGGGATTGCCTCCTTGGCTCCAGAAAGGGGGGCCACTTCCTTGGGTACAGAGGGGTGGGGGTGCTACTCTTGTGGACTGAGAAGGTGGGGCCAGAGAACAGAACATCCAGCCACAGAGAATTATTCCCAAGCCTGGAAACCTAATGGAATTTGCCAACTTTATTTAGACCAGTAACCTTTTTATTCCTTTCATTTTCTTCATTTCAGAATGGGAATATCTACCCTATACCTATCCTGACATTGTATTTTGGAAGCAGATAAACTGTTTTCTAAATTTCACAGGTCCACAGATGGAGAGAAATTTTTCCCCAGGATGGACCCTACCCAGAGTCTCTCTCATACCTGGTTTAGGTTATTTAGAAGATGAGATTTTGGACTTGGAGTTGATGCTGGAATGGGTTAATTCTTTGGAGGATGTTGGAATGGGGTGGATTTATTTTGAACATGAGAAAGGCATACATTTTGGGGGCCAGAGAGTAGGCTGTTGAGGGTTGAATTGTGAGTTCCCAAAAGATATGTTTAAATCCTAACCTCCAGGACCTGTAAATGTGACCTTATTTAAAAATAGGGTCTTTAAAGATAAAGATATAATCAATTTATTATGATGTCATACTGGATTGGATAGTTCCTAATCCAATGACTGGTATCCTTATAAGACGAGGGAAACTTGAACATTGATACACACAGAGAGGAGAACACTATGTGAAGATACAGAATGGACAGACACAGAGGAGAGCACTATGTGATGATGGAGGCAGAGATTAGTGTGATGTCTGAAAGCTAAGGAACATCAGGGA